GTGCGTCAAGCGGGTCCTACGCCAGACTTTAAAGGAAGTGTCGCCGCGGGAGCATACACTCAACTGCTTCCTCATCGAAGCCGAAAGTATTGTTAATTCTCGACCGCTGACGCACTTGCCAGTCGACGTCAATCAGGAGCAACCACTAACGCCCAATGACTTCCTGCTGGGTGAAGACAATGCACCACAAACTCCAATTACGGATGATGTTTTGGAGAACACGTACGTTCTGCGGCAACAGTGGCGCATTGCTCGACAAATTAGAGACCATTTTTGGAAGCGATGGATAGCTGAGTATCTCCCCACACTGACACGCCGGGTGAAGTGGTGCCAGAGAACCAAACCCATACAAATAGGTGACCTTGTATTTATATGCGATCCGAACATACCCCGACGAGAATGGCACCGAGGCAGGGTAGAAGGCATATATCGTGGAGCAGATGGTGAAGTCAGACGGGTTGACGTGCGCACTAACAATGGCCTGAAACGACGAGCCGTATCAAAATTGGCTGTTCTGGACGTTGAATGTGGTGAATCGGGCTGATTCACGGGGGTGGGAATGTTGGGAACTCCTGCCTTTACCAAATTCAATTTCTATCATGATTGTTATTCCAATTTTATGTATGCTTACATTCACCTACTTATGTTTATGAATTCCAATATTTGCTATTTACTTGCTTGTATATATGTACATATGTATGTATTTCAATTTGTCATTCCTGTGTACATATGTACGTTTACCGCTTTAATTGCTTACTTATTCACATGTATAATTTGTTTTTGTTAATTTCCCGTACTGCGGCATTTGCCTTTTTGTCGCGCACTTCAGTAAACCCATTTGAGTTTGCTAGTTGCTATGTATATATGTAATTCCCTCAGTTATGTATATATGTACGCACTCCTTTGGGCTTTGTTTTTGTGCCTTTACCGCAATGTGTCAATCGCCTTTTCACTGGTGCGCTTGCTCGTCGTAGTTTGGCAAGTCGTTCGCTCAAACTCAAATCTCAATTCAGTCGTCGACAAAGGAGAAAAGGTGAAGGACACACTGCGGTAAGCAATATTTTTAATTTGTACAACATTCATATATGTATAAGTAACTTTGTATTTTTTCTTAGAAATAAACCAAGTTTGCAAACCTATAACTTGCGTTAAATTCGCCAGCGAGTCGATGACAGTAATTATTATACCGCATATGAAGATAAAATCTTCCACTCATATACATGGACAGACCAAATTTCAAATGGTGGTCTAATAAAACCTAAACCGGAATTCCTTGTTGACATAAAGAAACTGAAATTAACTTTAAATAAATTTAATGGAAAGGAAATTTCGAATTGCAAAAATTTAATAGCTGAATTATTGAAGTTAAGTTCTGACGTAAATTTAGAATAATCAAACCTTTTTTTAAAAGTCTAATATACTTTAAAATTAAGCATTTGAATAAAAAAATAAATGATTAAAAGCATTGGGCTATTAAAAGCAAGAAAATTGCCAAAAATGGGTTTATAAATGAGTGTGTTTCACTTAGTGTGTAATTTTGTGTAAGTATGCGTTTCCACATTTATTATTATTATTATTATTGGGGATAGAGCACTGCGACCTTAAAATCTATTGTGCCCCCTTCATGGATTGTAGTTTGTCTATTAATCCAGTATCCGAGAGAAACTTTAGTATAGAACCTAAGTCTACGGATTTCACTTCGCCTTTGGTTATCTGATGTGCAGGACATTCTTCTAAGATGTGCTGTGCAGTCTCGTTTTTCATCCTGCAACATCTGCATCGCCTATGCGAGTAAATTCCCAGTTTAGTTAGGTGATAGTTCAGCCTGCAGTGTCCTGTCAGAATTCCTGTAACAATTCTTAAGTTATTCTTTGATAAGTTCATATATTCCTTGAAGCGTTTTAGGTTATATGTTCCTAAAAGTGCTTTGGACTGCTCTAGACCTGGTAGATTATCCCAGTAGTGATTCCTCTGAGCTTCTTCCTCTAGCCGAACTAGTTCAGAGATTGCCCCTTTTCCCAAGCCGCAGAAAGGTTCTGGACCGGTGAAAGGGGTTGATGTACCTTTCTTCGCTAGTTTATCGACAATCTCGTTTCCTTTAATACCAATATGTCCCGGAATCTAGAGAACCCAAACCCGATTGGTCAGACTAAGAGTATTCAGCTTGTCGAGGCACTCCATCACCAGTTTAGATGTTACCTGGTGAGATGTGAGGGCTTTGATAGCCGCTTGGCTGTCAGTCAAGATCGTGATGTTCTGATTCCGGTAGTTTCGCTTGATATTAATGTCCGCGCATCTTTCTATGGTGTATGTTTCAGCCTGGAAAATATACATATGCTTCCCTAGGGGTTCCGAGTATCTTAACCTCGGTCCAACTACCCCTATCCCGATACCCTCGTCGGTCAATGAGCCATCAGTGTACCAGGTAATCGTGTTTTGGTTTATCCGATATGTCTCGGATATGCCTGCCCAGCTCTTCTTATTACTCAGTTCAGTCTTAAACCTCTTTGTAAAGCTGAACCTCGGATGCATGGTATCCCTCGATATTGCAATTTCACGGAACTTATTCGTAAGAATATCTAGCTTCCCACGACCAAGACACCCTGCTGCCCCGATATTGGTACCAGTCATCCGTAGTAAAGCTCTTTTCGCCTGACCCTGTATGTAAATATGAAGAGGGGTAAGATCTAAAAGAACATTAAACATTACATTAAAACGAAAATGCAATACCTAAAATGAAGCTGATTCTAATGAGATTTTAAAAATTTTTATATCTACAAAAACTTTCATTTTAAAGATATTAACCCGCAGTTATAGTCAAAATAAAGTCGACTCCAAAGTTAAAAGCCGCTTTTTTTGACAGATATCCCATTGAAAGTTATGTGAAAAAGCTGCTTTTAACTTTAGGAGTCGACTTTATTTTGACTATAGCTACGGGCCGTTGAGTTTTATCAAATATGGTAAATGCATAACAAAGGGTTAATTTCTTTGTTTAAATTTTTTGACATTACAGTCAGCTATGAGAGAGCTCGACTGAATTGTCACTTCTACCTTGTTGAATATGCCTTGGTTACTATGCCCGACAGCTCCGCACACCTTTGTGAATCCATTGCCATAGCGCCCGCTTACTCTGCTGCTATAATTGCAAATACATCAGAATCCATAATTTTCCTCAAAATATGTAAAATTAACCAATTTTACAATAAACAAGCACATAATGAGTGTTTTTTTAAATTCCNCTATAATTGCAAATACATCAGAATCCATAATTTTCCTCAAAATATGTAAAGTTAACCAATTTTACAATAAACAAGCACATAATGAGTGTTTTTTTAAATTCGTTTCCACTTTGTTTTCCTTCATCAGCTATCTTCAAAAAACAACTGATAGCTGGCAATGCTGCACATGTTTTTTGTTTTTCGTAGCGTAGCTATGAATTACGAATTACGAAAATTCGGGTTCTAGAATAAGGGGGTAAGGTGATAACATCAGAGGCAATTTCGACCAATTTCGGCAGCCTTACTGGCAGTGATGTTCTCTTTACCTTATTTGTAATTTGTTCGTTCCAGTTTTTTTTTCCCTTTACATTATGCTCCTTATAGTAAAAAATTTCACGAGTTTGGAATCGCTTAGATAATCGGCTTATGTAAATGCTGTGTAATATAAGAGCGCGGTTACCCACGAACGTGTACGTAGCGTAACGTAGAAGTACGTAGAAACATATCAAGTGTGCTGTTGCTAGAATGAGAGAGATGCAACGGCCATCCGGTGGTGAGTTTTTGTTAACACGCAGATGCCATAAGATAGATCTTGTCAGCTGACACGTTCTCCGTTTTTACGTCCGTGGGTAAAAAACTTGGTGTTAAGTAATCAATATATGTAACTAATAAACGGAACACAATATATGTATGTATTTCAAAAGAAAGAACTCGTTTGATATTTGCTTTAACCTTCCAGGAAAATCTAGAACTCATTTGGAAATTAAGGTGGGCTAAAGGTTCAGTAAGTCTACATTTAATAACGTACCATAACCTAGTATATTGGCCAACGCAATATATTTTTGTTCAGGAATTTTTTAATGCTGCTCATGTGCGGCAATGGGGCAGTCAACTGAAAAGGAAATACAAAAACAAAATATTTTCGCTTCTGGCTAAGTTGACGTGTTGACTAATCATCGACGATTTCTTACGTAAGTTAAGTCTAGACTAACTGAGCCTTAAATGTTGTTATATTCTTTAAATAAAAAGCTTAAAAAAAATTCACTTACATGTAAACTTGTTTCCGTTACTATTATTTCTACTTAGAATAATGCACCCCATTAAACCTTAAAAACGGCCGGATATTAATTTGTATCAAATGCTTTTTTTATAATTGCTCACTTATTTACTAATGATTTGTTTTATAGTAATTGAAATGAATTGTGTTAAAACGATTCTTAGTATAAATACAATTAAAAAATTTAAACTGAATCAAGGTAGATTTCAACCATCGCCTTGCAAGATATATAGTGGTTTACGCTTTATATTAACACCTATCATTGGTACTTTTCTGCAATTTTGGATAAATTTAATGCGGGGACGCTCCTATACTTTAAAGCAGTGCTTTCTTTAAAATTTTACGCCGTTAAGTTCAAACATATAACTTATTTATATTATTTTTTTTTTGTAAAATAAAAACAATGATTTTTTTTTGTATCCCATTAATATAGGTAATGCAGTTTATTTATATATTATTCACGAAGAAAATGTTACAAATAATAATGGAAAAGTAAGTGATAACAAAGTTTTCTTTATTTTTCTGTTTATTGGTATAAATATTTCATATGTGGCGATGTAAGTGAAGTTGCTGGTTGTCTTGCGCAGAGTACTGATTCATCGAGCGCGCCTATTTATTGACAAGCTATCACGCACATGGCTTCAAGCCAATCGCCTATGCACACGCGTACTTGTATACATGCTCACGGGCAAGAGTTCCAACAAAAAACGAGAAAGCGCCATTCATTATTTAAATTAAGAGCTTCGTATACATTTCTAAATTAAGATAAAAAAATTAAACTAAAACCATCAATATGTTTGTTGCTGTTTTAAAACGTTGATATAAAATAACAATCCATTCCCATTTTTATGCAGTTTCCCCCAAATTGGAATATAATACATAACACATTTGCACGCATAACCTCATACAGAAATGTGTATATATGTATGAACATATGTGTATATACAACAGCATAAAGGTGTAATTCACATTCACATGTGAAATGAATAAACGTAACCCCCGCTTAATTTTTTTCTACTTTTTAAACAGCTTTTACGCTTCCCTGTCGACTAGCTTGCACTGATTACATAACGGAACAAAGCCCAGATGTTTCGACGCCGCACTGTACTTTTTTCGTTTTTGTCAGCTTGACATTTTTCAATGACTCTTTCAATTCATGCGGCAATGGTTCTTCTTGCGCCGGCGGTGGCGGCGTTGTAGTGGGTTGTTGTCGCTTCACAATATTCTGTACAATTGTACTTGATGTGGTCGGGGGGAAATAGCGCGGCGCTGACGATGTACTACTATAGCTACCAATTACAGATATCGTACTTACATTGGACTCCTCATTGGCAGCTATATTTTTCGTATTGCTGCTGCTTGACACCGGAATAACGGTGGTGGTCCGCGCGCCCATAGTGCCGCCGCCACATAAAACCGGTATCGTGGATACAACACTTATGGCCGATACATTGCTATACGACGCTGTATTTTCGCCCCCGATAGAGCCGTCACTATTGTCGCCTGTATGCGCATCAGAAATGGTTGATGCTTTGCTTGGACTACCACCCATTGAATGGCTGGAGGCTATTGCAGTTGAGGCGCTACCACTATTACTATTATTATTGTTATTACTAGTACTACTACTATTTGCTGATATACTACTCTTAGCAATATTTATTTTAATTTTATTAACTAAGCTAGCCAATGGTATCGCAGGTGATGGACCAACAGTGGACAAATTATGCTCGTCTTCGGTGCCGTTATTGCCGTCAATGGAGGCATTCAAATCAGTTGGCGCTGCAGCTACATTTGTTGCTGAACCCTCGGCGAATTCCGTGGCATCACTTTGCACAAGCGATTGTGAGGAAGGTGGCCGTTCGGTAGTGGGCGACATGCCCGACGTGGATGAGGTAATCGTTTGGGTTTGTGTTTCTTCTGTAATACATAAAAAAAAAGCTTCAGAATGATGAATGTAAAACGAATTTTTTCCTTATACTCACCACTGCTCTGTATAGAAATTTCCTCATCAGGCGGTATCAACACAGTGCCTACATCCTCAAAACCGTCATCTTCATCTTCATCATCATCATCCTTAGGCTCTTCCTTTATTTTTACATTCATAAATGACAATTGTGAGGTTTCATCAGCATCTGGCTGCTCTTTTTCCACGTACGTATCCAAGTCTGTGAATGGAATATTCGGCTCCTGTATTTCCACATCCGATCCAGCGGCTTCAGCGTCAGCCCCTGCATCAGCTGCTTCTGCATTGTCCTCGTCATCAATGTCAATGGGCTCATTAACTGCGTTTTGTGGTGGTACACTCTCCGGTACGTACTCATCATCATCGTCGATTTCCGTCACCGAGGGTTCTTCATTCGGCAGCACGATAACATCATCGTCATCATCTTCCACCACTGCGATGGAGGTGGAATTCGCATCTTTATCTTCAACTATGAAAAATTAATAATCAATGAAGCATTAGGATAGACAAAAATTGTATGCAGACATTATTGAATACTAATACTTGTTTAACCGAAAACAATCGGGATTTTTTAATTTTTTTCAATAGATTGCGCCTTGCAAAAATAATCTAACGTACACTTAGGCAGTGTAGTATAACTTACCATCGCTCTGGTCGTCACCTTCTATTTTAATAATTACGTCGTCATCTGTGTTTGTTTCATCTGCTTCTTTGTCATTCGTCTTCTCATCTTTTTCTTCAGCCTTGGCATTGAGAGCAGCCTTACAATTTTTAAAGGCCTTGTTAGTCATACCACTCACAAATCAAAAAAATAACATTACCTTATAGTCTTCGTAGCATAACGGATGATAGATTTTATCCTCAACCCTTGTGGCATTCCGCAAGTGCCACTCCTCAGTTTCCTCGTGGTAGAATTGCTCGAATTTCTCTTGGCACATATCACATGCACGATCGACATCTTCCGGCAAGGCCGGACAACTCAATGGTACTGGCGAATTTAGCCACTTTTGATTTGATGTCTCATCGCAAGCTTCAATGTCATTTTGCTGCGATTCGAAGAAATTCTTCTCACGTTCTTCCAAATCTTCGATCTCTTCATATTGCACCCAATCTGCGAGATCATAATACCATTTACGCGAATGCGCTTTCCGCGATAGATCTCGTTCGCGTCGATTTTGACGGAAATGCCAATCTAAATGCTGACTGTACTTGATGGTCTGCTCGGGGGGAAAACGAACGCCACAGCTGCTGCACTGCATGCCCGAAAATAGTGTGTCCACAATTGCCGTTTGTCGCGTCTTGACTGTTTCCGACTTGGATAGGTCGATTGGCCTAATGGCGACCGGCTGTGGCGCTTCCTCTTCAAGCGCGGCAGCTGATGGCAAAACACCAGCATCCTTGTTACTAGGCGCTACGACGCTACCGGCACCGCCCAATATGCCAGAAGATACTAATTTTTGGAAAAGCTCATCTATATTGATCTGATTTAATGCCGTTGCAGAGAATATTGGTATAGCCGAGTTGCCGCTGCCCGCTGTTCCAACCACTTGCGGTTCAATCACTTCAACCGCTGGCTTTTCATTCTCGGGAGCCTCAACCTCGGCCTCCGGCTTAACCTCTTCTGTATCAATATCTTGTTCAATCTTTGCAGATTCAGTCTTAACATCCAGCTCCGTTTTTACACTTTCAGCAGTTGGTTCAATAACCTCTTGTTTCGGCGCCGCGGTAATTTGTTCAATAGGCTCTGGTTTGGGTGGCTCTGTTTTCACATAAATCATATCTTTAATGACAATTTGGCCAGCTTTCAAGCCTTGCGGTAGCGCGCCGAATCGGATGAAGTAACTCACACCGCCAAGAACGTAACTTTTGGGCAATCCACCATACTCCACTTTAGCAGGTTCGCCATCAAGTAACACAGTCAATAAATTGTCCGCAAATTGTACAGTGTGGTCTTGGTTACCCAATTTAAAGCATTGCGGCTTCGCATCTAGGAACAACGGTATAACGATGTGCGCATCCACAATCATATTGATTTTGCCTACAACCAAGTCGCGCCGCAAAGCACCAATGTTCACTTGTGGGGGCGGACCCTCAGCTTTTAGTATATGTATTCTATTTTGTATGGGTATCGATACCGGCGGTCCACCAAAGTAAATTTCGTACCAGTGCTCGTCAATGTACAACTCACGTGATGGAAATCCGAAACGCAACCGATGCGGCTGGCCATTAATGCTGAAAGTTTTGTAGTCATCATTGAATTGTAGCGCTATTGGCGGTTCATCATCAATGATAATCGAACGCTGACCGGCCTGAAATCCGATTTCACGCGGCTGGTCCAATTCCATGAATACAATCGCGACCTGATCATAGATGCGTATTTCCTTTAACAGACCATCAATAGTGATGGTGCGCACCAAATCGGCTTGTGGATTGTCGATAGAGTTACAGGGCTTCGGTATGTTGGGCGGCAGTGGAATAATCGGCAGCACTGGCGCCAGTGGCGGTGGCGGCACGCTGCTGCGTATCATTGGGCCTGGATTAACAAACGGTGGAACTGGTGCAATACCGGGTGGCAGTTGCATTTGCCAAGGCATTTGCGGATGCATACTGGGCATAGTGGGGGGCGGCGGCGCACCACGGAAACCACCAACAGGATGTGGCCTCATCATGCCGCCCTTCGTCCATGGCTTGGAGTGATTGGGATTACCTGGCCCACCAGCGTTAGCAGCGCCATCCACTTTGTCGCCCCACTTAGAAGGTTTTAACCGTTTCTCTCTTTGCGGCTTCGAACGTGCCGGCGCACTTATGTCGCTGTTGTCATTGCTACGATCATCGTAAAGGGGTGATCTAGTTGAAGTGGCACTTGTGCCCAAATCCGGTGCAGAAGCGGCGGTGTTGTCACTTTTGGAATTTCTAATCAACTTTGGAATGCGTTTCTTCAGCACGGCTTCACGCGCCGCAGCTGCACGCTGCGCTTCGACGGACTCATCGTCGTCAATTTGCTTCGAGTGTGCTGCATTGCCACCAAGTGATTCACGCTTCTTAGCTTCCTTTAATTTGCTCGTTTCATTGATGGACATCACCTTCTGCATGAGATTCTTGTATTGATCTTGATTAATGGACTTAGTTTCGAGTAGTTCTTGTGCCTGTGCAACGATCGTGCGTATTTTTTCATCATTCGCATCCTGTGAGTCATCGTTCAATTCTGTCTCCGAAAGTTTAAGACGTTGAGAGGGGTCTTTGGCCGATTTTTCTGCAATTAATGAGATGCGAAGGCCATAGTTAGTGATTAACTTGAGCTTCCAAAAAAGGCAAAAATGGGCATTTATTTTTTAATTTTGTTATATACATACCGGGGATGTTGCGAATATTTGTATTCGCATTCGTTATGCGAATGATTCGCATCATTTTACACATTCGCATCGCATCAAATGATACGAATGTTTTGCGGATGCGATTATGTACATGGGCAGAGAGTCCACTCCAATATTGTTGAAATGGATCTAAGTCTGTTTAACAAGGGTGCGGACAATAACCGGCTTTTAGCTTCAGGCGCTAAACGGATAAGTCAAGCCAATTGATGGACCTTCAACAAGTTCTGCTAAAAGTCTTACATGCAAACTAGAAATAATTTTAGATTCCTCCAGCGAAAGCGAAAGCTCGGATGTAGAGTCTGGAGACATTAAAAAATGTGAAATTATAGCTCAATTGAAGGCCTATCTTAAAGAAAAACGAGAAAACACTCTCGATTGGTTGAAAAATAAACTAAAATACAACAAATTGTCAGATCTGGCCCGCAAATATTTGAGCGCTCCACCCGCCAGCGTTCCAAGTGAACAATTGTTCAGTGTAGCCGGCCTTATATACGAAGCTCTAATAAGTCGCCTCATGGGAGAAAAGGCAGCAAAATTACACTTTTTTGAAATATAATAAGCCCCTTTTGAACTTTGACTACTACATTAACACACTGTATAGGTTTTAAGTAATAAAGCGATGACTTAAGTTGAGCCTTTTTAATGTTATTCCTAACATTCCCATTCCGAAAATTCGAATTCGCATTCGCGAATGTGAAAGATATGACATTCCAAACATCCCTAATATATACCTTTAGTACAATGCAAAAGCATATGGGTGTTTCCAGCGGAAGGTCCACCACGACAAAAAAAATAAAAGTTTTATATCTAACGTATTTACGGGCCGATTTGTCTGCTTTTTAAAATATATACTGGCTATGTAAGTAGAATCATGTTTGCATAAAATGGTCTTCCTAGGTGGTGCCAAGGTCGAGATATTTCGAAAAACCGTATTTATGGTCTGATTTGGTTCGAATTTGGCGTATGTGGTTGAAACATAATAAATCATAGATTTCTAATAAATTGACCCTGAATTGGCGCTGAAGTCAAAATATAAAGTATATTCTACATAAAATACATGTTTTATTTGCGTTAAAAATTCATTTAAAAGCAATATTAACAAAAATATAACGATGGAAATTTATGTCACGTGACGCCACGTCACGTCACGTTTCACACTTGGGGTTGTAAAAGAGAATTGAAACAATTTGCATTAATTCAAAAAACTCTAAAAACAACTAGAATTGCTCCAAATCATATTAAAATAAGTTTCATGAAAATAGCCATCCACAATTCGCAGTTTTGCGATTTTGTAAGAAAAGAAAAAATCAACTTCCATTTTTTGTCACGTAACGACACTCTCTTTAAATGCTTATATTTCAGGACCAAGCAGTTCGATTGATTTCATTTTTCGGTTAAATATAGAACTAATTATGTGCTATACAATGGCCCAAAAAAGTTAAAGAAAACAAATGGTATTCCTTTTTTGTATCACATTGAAATCGTACGACTGTCACGTGCGCCACCATGGGAATGCCCATATACATGTCCCATTAAATATATAAAAAATACAATGGTAATGAAAAAATTATAGCCGCACCAATTTTAACATATTATTTTTATTGCCATCTAATTTTAGTTATTTTTTATAAAAAATATAGTTCATTCTTTAACAAAACCCGTGTAAATTCAAGTTTCCAACTTTTTGCTATATTCAAAAACTTTCGTGAAAATTTCAAGCTTTTTCAAAAATTCTAAAAAATCAACCATAATTTTTAGCCATTTGAAACTTTTACTTTATTCTACTAGAATTCAATGGGCTACAGAACTACATACTTAGAATCTTTCTATGAAATCTTTACGAAATTTTTTAAATATAAAAATTAAATATTTTAATTCAGTGTCACACGATTGGTACTTTTGTACAGATTTGTACAAGCGGACTGTTGGTACAAAATAAATAAAAAAATAGGGACGACAACTTTTTTGTAGTCACACGATTCGTACAATACAGCGAACTTCTATGAAGAGATAAATATTAAAACGGCAAAACATGCCGAAAAGGCAGAAAAAGGCAATATATCCAAAAAAAGGCAAAAAAGGCAAAATTTAAATTTAAATTTTTAATCAAGGAAGACATGAAACGTGATTTTTTAATTTGTTTACAGATACGACTAAGCAGACAAAATAGGCAAATGCCTTAAAATCCTAACCCTGATGATTAAGATGCGATAATGATAAGAAGGATATACCCACCGGATTTATTTAATTTGCTATATTTTGTTGCTTTCGCCAGTTTGGCGCGTACGTCATCCAGATTTGAAGTCTTCTTTAACGGTGATGATGTTTTTGTTGTTTTTGCAGTCTGCAATTTAAATAAAAAAATATGATTTGAGTAATAAAAAGAATATTTTCATTAAAGGAGTATAGGTTATCTTCTATCCACCTTCAAATTATTCCAACTCTCCGCGTGTTGCTCATCAGTGATAAACGGCGGCGGCGGTGGTGTCGGTGATTTGCTCGCACTACGCGGTGGTTTCTGCTGGAGCTGTGCAGCCAATATCTGTGGCGGTATGCCAGTGCGCAAATCCACATCTTCATCACCGAATAATCTAAAGCGAATTTTCAAGAAACGATTGCGTGAAATTGGTAACCATGAACAAAAAAATTTAAAGACAGTGTTATCCATCTTCGGCCATGCCAAAGGCTTTATACCTCTCATGAATATATGTATTAGAAAATTAAGCTTTACGGCTCTATTCGGTATCAGTGACAAATTCTTGTCACAGTTTTTATTACACAGTTTTTTGTCACAGTTTATATACAGTCAGTCAATAAAGTTTAGGTACAGCGAATTTTTTACAATACGGGCAACTATTTTTTAAATATTTTATTTTTCGCAAATTTTTTATAAAAAATATGGTTAATTCTACAACAAAAACCCCAAAAAGAAAAGTTCCAAACCTTGTGCAAAATTAATGAAAATTCTGCAAAATTTCATTCAAGTATTGAACTTTTTATTTACGCTCTCTAGAAAAAAATTTGAGTTGCAGTTTTTTAGCACATTCAATTTTAGTATAATAAAGTGCAAGTATGAGGAAGCTAGGACTTACCATTGATTTTTGGGAAATTTTTTTGTCGAAGGTGTCGCACATTTTTTCCATATAAAAAAATTATCAAACATTATTTTATATGGAGAAAACGAGCGACACCTTCAACAAAAAAAATTCCTAAAAATCAATGGCAAGTCCTAGCCACCACAAACTCGCACTTTGTTATACTAAAATTGATGGGCTAAAAAACTGCATACCCAACTTCTTTCTAGAGAGCGTAAATAAAAAGTGCAATATTTTTTGCGGAATTTTCTTAAATTTTGCATAAGGTTCGGAACCCTGATTTTTGGGTTTTTTGTTGTAGAATTTACCATATTTTTATAAAAAATTATGGAAAAATAAAATATTTAAAAAATAGTTGCCCGTACTGTAAAAAATTCGCTGTACCTAAACTTTATTGACTTACTGTATATATATATGAAAAAGTTTAAATTTGTCAGTAATACATTTGCCACCGATACATTAATTTACCTATTATTATATTTTTAGCCTACAATTATGAAATTTTAAAGTAATATTTATTGGTCGCCGTTAGAAAAAAGGACCAAAATTCAACGATATTTTGTATAAACTTCAAAAAAGCACTTTATTATACAACTTTTTCTTAAAATTTCAGACCTTTTACTGAAATTTGTTTGAATAAATCGAATAAAAGGTCTGAAATTTTAAGAAAATACAATTGTTTAGTTTAAAATCTCTTGTATGGGAGTTATGTCTAAGTTATAGTTACTCAATCTTGATGATTTTTAACTGACTTCACAAAAAGGAGCGAGGTTATCAATTCATCGGAATATTTTTTTATATATGTAGCCGGATAACATTACACCACGTGAACCGTTTGCGATAATTTTGATCGGATAGGTGGTACGATACATATGTACCTCAAGGATGGCCCCATACTAATTTGGTTTAGTTCCGATTTTTATATGAACATTGAAATCGATTGTTGTTTTTTGCTTAAAAATTAATTGTGACTATCAACTTTCTATTCATGATAATATTAAAAGAGTGGCACATTTATTGTCCTAACGATAAATACATTATAATCAAGTTTAAGTTGGACATCTCTAATACTGAGGTAATAATTTGCGTTAAACCAGGCACTTATAAACAACGAACTAAAAATACCAATTAATCTTCATGAAAGGTAAAAAAAAAAACATTTTGCACAGGGCTCAGTACTTACGCATCAAATTTCGCTGATTTACTCTTCTTGGCAAGCGGTTCCTCCAAATCCACATTACTTGTAGATAGACGCTTTTTGTCCTCGCTGCCAGTGGTATCTACATCCATAGGCTCGAAAGCGACTGGCGACAACGGTGGTGCTTTTGGCTTAATCAGCTGCTGCTCCGACGTATCAATACTCATGTGACGTTTTACACTGGCACTACTACTAACACCAGTATCATCTACTCCGACAACGGCACCGCCACCGCCGCCAGCGCCAGCGCCATCTTCGTCATCAACACCAGTAGTTTCGGGTTTTCTCAATGTTGATGCACCTTTCGTTGCCGCCGTTGCTGCCTCAATTGTACCCGTTGATGCTGTTGTTGTAGTTGACAATTCGTCGTCATTATCGCGAGCAACAGTTGTCGCTGGTTGTTGCGCTGTAGATTTGTCTAATTTATTATACAATTTCTGAATTTTAAACGACACTTTGGGTGATGTTGTTGTTGTAGTTATGGCTACTGTAGTGTTCTTATCATTCAGCTTCGCTTCAGAAGCTACTACGTTTGGATCTAATTTTGGCACATATGCAGTGGCGATTGGAGGGAAATGCCTTAAGTCAATGTCCGTTTTCGCAGCGATTGCCAAACATCCGTCGGCCACTATTTTAATATCTAAAATTGGTTTTTTTATGCTTACGTTTTTTTTTGCTAATTACGTTTTGTTTTCATGCTTACTGACTTATTTTTTCTTAATTACTATTTATTTGTTTCTTTTTTTTGGATTTGCATTTATTTCACAAAACATTAACATTTACCATGAAATTTACAAGGAAGGTATTTATTTATAAATAGAAATGATTGTAAGAAAATTAGCAAGCTACTAAAAAAAAAAGAAAATATAATTCTACAAAATAAAAGAAAAGGTTTTCAATAACTTAAACCAATTTTAAAAAATTAAAAGTAGCGGACAAGTCTTTTGGGGAAATTTCAAATGAAGGTCATAATACTCGACCGAAACTACAATCATCACCGCAAGTACATAAAATATTGGACGAGATGGGAGTATGGAAATGAAAATAGATAAATAAAAAAGCTTAACCAGATTCGCTGCCGGTATCCAAAGCAATGTTATGTCACGAACATGCACACCACAAATAGTATCAGGGCGCTTGTGAGTTTTTTAAGAAAAAATAACAATACAAAATTTTATTAAATAAAATACGATACGATGCGAAAGCAGGACAATGAAAAAACAAATTTTTTTTTTCGGGCGAAACCGAACTGTATATATTTTTTTCATCTTTCTGTAAACTATCTTTCTATGTTGGTCCAAAGTCAACAACCCTGAGTTCCAAAATGCAAATGCACAATGCATAAGTCTCTGTCATTTCTGAAGTACATTCAGAAGTAATTTCAAATAAAGTTGCACAAGCTGGGAAATTTAATCTACAATTAGGCNTTTTTAAGAAAAAATAACAATACAAAATTTTATTAAATAAAATACGATACGATGCGAAAGCAGGACAATGAAAAAACAAATTTTTTTTTTCGGGCGAAACCGAACTGTATATATTTTTTTCATCTTTCTGTAAACTATCTTTCTATGTTGGTCCAAAGTCAACAACCCTGAGTTCCAAAATGCAAATGCACAATGCATAAGTCTCTGTCATTTCTGAAGTACATTCAGAAGTAATTTCAAATAAAGTTGCACAAGCTGGGAAATTTAATCTACAATTGCCAACTTTTAAAACGCCTAAGTGAGGGCAAAATAATTTTTAAGGAGGACGATTTATGAAGACGTCTTTGCTTGAAGGTATTCTAATAAAATCATTTATCAAAAAAAAGAAAAAAACCTAAAACTATGTTCACAGTACAGCATAAATTACTTTGTTTCGATTAAATTACTTCATATAAATCAAGCACGTTCACATTTTCTTTCATGATTTCTATATATATATATATATATATATATATAAATATATATATGTACGTACGAGTGTGTGGTTTTACTTGATTTCCAAAAAATGGTTGCACACTTTTAGGCATTTTTTTTTTATTTCCTCAACAGTGAACATTTTTTTTTCTTCAATTGGTTCTTGATTTATGATAAATTATCTCATTTCTATTTAATTTATTGACCGATTTTACATGGAGAAATTACTTGATTTCAGCATGATTTGCTTATAAATTACAAATGAGCCGTAAATTACGGTAATGTGAACATGCTTTAAGCCATTCTATGAATAGCGGGGTTTACACGATCCAACATGTAGGACAACATAACATAACTGTGAGAAATCAAAAAAAATTTTAAACCAGCCAACACGTGTGTCGAGCGGTTGTTTAAGCGATAATCATCACCAGTGTTGCCGCGCATAATTTTTAGTGGTAGCCAAATTCCTTTAAAAAAAGGGCTAAAAAAGAGCTAAACAAAATATATATAAAAACAACGAACTTTGAAAAAAAGCTAATATTTTATCCAACCAAAAACCTTTTTGTACCAGCTGCTTGCTGGTTCCATCAAGTGATTGTACCATCAGGCTCGAAGCATATAACTTACCAGCATGCTGGTACAATATCTATTTCTTTACAAATGAGATCGAGGAAAGATCGAAATGATTAGAGCCGAAATTTCATAATTTTTCTAGCACTTTGTTTAACATTGTTTTTTTTTTTTGTAATTCACAACTGCAATATCGTGAACGTAATCTTCCACAAATACAGCTTTGACTCATATAGTGCAAGAAATTTCCGCCAAAATACTTTTTACTTTGAAAATTGGGCAATTGACTTGATGGGTCATTTAACAAATTTATAAACAAATTTATTTTAAACTATAGTTAAATCGTTAACAGAAAAGTTAACAGCCCCAACACTTTTACAGTATGTATGTATAAAGGCGTAAGGAACATACAATACATATATGTATATATATCAGTCTTTCTTAGTTTAAAAATTCATCTCTTACATAAATGCAAAAAAAAAAAACAATTTAAGCATATACAACTTTTTCATGCCAAGTATGAATAAATTCTAAAAAGGGCTAAAAAAGGGCTAGGGGCAATTTTAAATTTATGTGGCCAAAAAAAGTATGTGGTAGCTAAATTTAGCCACCAAGGGCCTGAAACGGTAACACTGATCATCACACCAAGTGGTCGAACATGTTGGATCGTGTAAACCCCGCTAATGGGACAAAAACATATATATGAAGAATAAAAGCAAACACAGGTACATAAATAATTGTTATATCTGTGATATAAGTTCATAAGTACGGTAGACAGTTAAATTTTTAAATGAGTACCTTTCTGTGCTTTTCGTCGCTTTAATCGATTTCTTGTTATTTTTAATAACATTGTAAAACTCTGCGGGTCAATACTCTCTGGCACATTTAAATTTATTAACTTGCTTTTTATACACATTGCACTTAGCATTCATGATTGAAAAAGCTCATTCGGAAAATGTGCTACCGCATAGAATGCAAAATTTTTGCCGCTAGGCAAAAACTCAAAAATGCTCATATACATATTTTTCTCATAAATTGTTCAATTACTCTAAAAATCTTTTAAGTTAAGCACATTTAAGTTCATCGCAAGGAAAATCCGGATGTTAAAACTAATTTGAAAATTTGCGTTAGTAAACACTCTTTAGAAAACCCGAACCATTATTATATTCTAGTGCCAGTTTGATAAAATAAGTGAAATGGTTCTCAATGTCAGATTTTTCAAAGTAATTTACGATCTTCATATCCAAACAATTAAGAATGTGAAAAAAAAAACATAAAATGGAGTAGGTGTTTATCTATTGTGGAGGACGGTTGGTAAGCCTATCTGCAATTCTTTAGGAAAAAAAGGGACTGATGCTTTGAATTTTTACAATTTGGAATTCGGGGCAACTGTACAATTTTGGTACGAATTCGAAAAGCTGCTACAGAGATAATTATAGGTGGTTATGTACGCCCATTTTGCAAAAAATCATATTTTTTTGCGTAGTTAGTTACTTAAACATCGCAGTTTTTGTATTTCAGCAAACAACCGTTACATGAGAAGTAGGCGTAGTTGTCGCCCAATTTTTACCGTTTTAAATACCATCCATTCTTAGTCCCAAAGAAATACATGTACCAAGTTTCGTTGAGATATCTAAATTTTCAATCGATTACCTTTTTAATTTTGACCATTTTGGTATATACATATGTATGTACATAATTATCAGCAACTAAACGCTTTCATAATACATACAGTGGTGGAAAAATAAATAGGGACACATTTTAACAAATTTTTCCTATTTTTCTTTTGATTATTTAATATTTATTATTTTTTTATAAAATTATCTATCCATTAACTAACAAAACCATATAAATTCATATTTCAAACTTTGTGCAAAAATTACAACTAACAACAAACTTGCATCTAAATTTTGAACTTTTCAATCAGATCTTTTAGAATTATTTTGAGTATGCAGTTTTATAGCCCATTAAATTTTAGTACAATACTCAAAAAAAAATAAAAATAATCTGAAAAATCTGACTAAAAAGTTGAAAATTTAGATGCAATTTTGCAGAATTTTTATAATTTTTGCTCAAAATTTTAAATATGAATTTATGTGGTTTTAGATAGATAATGAGCTATAATTTCATAAAAAAATAATAAATATTAAATAAACGAAAGAAAGAGGCAAAAATTGAAAAAATGTCGTGTCCCTATTTATTCTTCCAACCCTGTATATTTTTCAATACTAAAAGAAATATTTTCATAGCTGAGCTAATGCGTAACTTATTTATGTTTTTAGGCTTTTTTATAACTAACTCTAAGGGTTAGACGCCAAACACAGAATATGAATTAGTCTATTCCCTACAAAAAATCAAATTTCAGTACTTTCAATAAGAAAACAGCCGGCTTAAGTAAGTCATTGGATTAATAGAACCATCTTAAACTAAGTCCACAACGTTTTAAAAGAAGAAATCGTCCACTCACCGCCATTCTTTGTAACTTCATTACAACGGAAACGAATGCTAGCAACAAAGCTTGAATAATAAAATTAATCAAAAATGAACTGAAAGACAATTATGCAAATTATTAAGTCGATGAAAGACTTAAGGCACGGACTTTTCTTGCACAGAAAATTAAAAATTGTTCCAAATATGGGCAGTTCACCCTACGATAAACGATCTGAAAGTTGAAATGATCCAACTGTCCTCTGGCTTTGAATTAACAATCATGGATCTCACTGAAACGATTTTTCATCCCAAAACGCAGACGTCCCTCTCATTCTTAACGTTAAGTTGTGGAAACGTTCTTGACATTACATTTTGTTCTCACGCAGAACTAAACCAAAACCGGAACGCGTTCTCCGTCCCTTCTTTAAACTTGGAATAACTTTTGTAGGATTGAATTTGGGGAAAAATCATGACTTCAATTTCTTTCAAAAAATACATATATCGCTTATTCGTTACGTTGACTTAAAAATGAGTTATAAAATTTCAAAATTGGGAAAAAATTATCCTTTGTTATTTAAATGGAAAATAGAAACTCGTGTTGAGTGACCTTTAAAATTTAATCATTCTCATTGCGAGAGTCGAATCGTATCGAAAATTTCATGTCATTGCCTAAAATTTCGACTCGACCAGTGTATTAAAACTTGGCAGCACTGCATAGTTTCGACGATTTTCGTCGTTC